AAAATGTGGAAATAAGGGTGAAAATACTAAAAAATGAATAATAATGACATTTTTCACAATAACAGTGAAAGGTAAGGACTTTACGTGCTAATTACTCATATTAAAATCATTCCTAAAAATTATTCAAAATCAAAACCCTCACAAACACTTATAATCGATACTTTAAAAAAACCCCTATAATTGGTACCCAAACTTCCAAGCAGGGCCTTAATAGACAGTTAATGCTACCTAATTCATCTCAAGTGAAGCCCTACAATCAAATTCATCTCTCTATAGTTTCAACATATGAGCCTGTCTTTTCCAATTTTTGTGCTCAACATAGCAAAGCCTACACAATATCCATTCTTCACCAATCAACGACACACACACTCTCTCTCTCTCTCTCTCTATTGCTCAAAATCATAAATATTATAATTACATGAACTTTGTACACATTCTTCAAATTTTTAGATTACACATGAACACCGGCTTAAAAAATCTTAAATGTTGCCCAACTCTTTATTGGATTCCAATTTAAACTCCTTCATCAAAGTCATCCTCAGTGTCATTCGATATAAAATCATTTTCATCGAGCTTCCTTATTTCAATTCGAAAATTTCTATTATATCTTGTAGATGGTATGATATCATTATTAACCTTCTTATCATCATCACAACCATAAAAAATTCATGATTGTTCATTACTAGTATCACTTGCTAATAAAACTAGGGAAAAATCGAAAAAGAAGGAAGATCGGGCTCACTGTAAATAGTTACGAAAAATCTGTGTTAATTTTTAATTTTTTTTAAATGTCAAAATCCTACAATTGCTATATATCATTCATGAATTTGGGTGATTTGGGTTAATTTAATGTTTATTGTGCTCAATTTGCTTTTTTTTTTAAAAAAAAAATTATAAGAATGGGATGAGCTTTCCTACCTTTTTAAAAACAAATACGTGCACATTTTAGCGTTTAAGCTTGCATATGCGGTCAACGAAAATGGGATTGACAGCATTATCATGCGCATATATCATATGTGAGACGTTTCGAAAATGCATCGAGCATATGTCAATCGATGCATAGTATATGCGCGCATTTTACAACACCTATAACCACAATTATTTGTAGGGAAAAATTCATTTCTCCTATTTTTACTATATACTATTTTAAAAATAAGAAAACAACTTTCAAATTTCTAAAATCAGATATTTACCACGCACACCCACATAATAAACCCACCTATATATATATATATAACCCACCCTACCTCCATCACTTCTCCCGCNCTTGTGACTAGTAATAGAAAATGTGACCTGTAAATTTGAACCGTGACTCTACAAACACATGTGACCTGTTAATTTTGATTTGTGACCTATAAAAAAATGACTTTTACTTGTGAACTCGAACTTGTGATAATGATTTGTGACCTTAACGACGAATTATTTAGCCATAGTTAACTATTAAATTAATTGTTCATACTGATCCGTGACCCGTTTATATTGATTTGTGACCTATACAAAATGACCGTGATTTGTGAACTCAAACCTTTGACCTTAGCTACCAATTTATTCATTGCAAATCGATCACAATTTATCAAATTATTGGTCACAACTTATTTTGTGGTCACAAATCAATAATTTTATAGGTATTGCTTGGTCACAAATAGAAAATTTTATAAGTCACGACTTATTCATCGATCACAAAATCAACATTTTTATTGGTCACAACTCGATTACAACTTAATAAATTGTGAGTCACGGTAACAATTTTTAGGTCACATTCTGCATCGATGACAAATGTAAAATTTTATTAGTCACAACTCATTTATTTTATTAGTGACATTCTCAAATTAATTGGTCACACATTATTTTTGGTCACTACTCGATTACAGTGAGTCACATTATAATTTTAATTGGTCACACCCGATAACACGCACAAAATAATCATAGTCACCTCCAATCGGCACACCCAATTCCCACCGTCGCACGTATGCACAAACTAATCACGACCACCAACAATCACAGTCACCAATAACCATTCACAAAATAATCAGTGTCACCTCCAACCCCATCTCGCCGACACGACCGACACCGCTCCCAACAACGCACATCACCACCTCCCACCGTTAATAGTGCTAAATCCACCACATCTCCAACGTCGAATCCACCACGAACAATGCTAGATCTACCACACAACCTTACCTAACCACCGTTACCACCAAATCTACAAAATTGCCGCCATCGCCGCAACGCCATTACCAGAACTAGAACATTGCGGCATATCCAGTACTAGAACGCCGTCGCAGATCCGAACCTTCATAGAGGATGAAATCCTGTAAATCGGAACATCGAGTCTCTCCAGCATCATCATGTGGAGCTTCTCAATCTTGTGGTGGTATTGGGCCGAGGTCTTGGGAATGGATGGGTCGGAGAAGCGGCTATGCGCAGAGAAGAAAGAAGAGTGCAGAGAGATGAGAGTGGGGATAGAGAATATAGTGAGACGAGAGAAGATGATGAAAATATTTTGATTAGGGTTTCGATAATTATATTATGGTGGGTTTGGGTAATTATATTTATAATCTATATAATTATAATGTATCTAATTAAAAAATATCTGATTTTTGAAAATTAAAAGTTCAGATCTGATTTTAGAATATAAATTTTGAAAAGTAGGGAATTGTGTAATTTCCACTTATTTGTATAATTGTAAGCAGCATTGGGCCGGACCAATGCTCTGCATATTCCAAAGGCCCATTAATCTTCGTTGGGAAAATTAGGCCAAGTACCCTATAAAAATAAGTATTTTGATTAATACCTTTTAAACTAATTAAACATTTTAATCAAGTAAAAATTACGTCCTAATCCTAAACTATTAACTAAAACTCACTCAACCTAAATTAACCCGACGGAATCCTATTACTCATCCTTAGAAATGCTCCCTATTCAGAGTCGATTTCCTCCATCTTCGAGAAACCTCAACCTGAAATCTACGTTTTCGACCATTTTCTGTCGATTTCATCGACGTCTTCCTCCGTCTCCGTTCATCTTCACTCTTCTCATTTTCATTTCGTGGAGATCTTAAACATGTACCCGAAAAAAAACCCCTAAATATCCGAAAGACTAACCTGTTATGATCAAAATCCAGAAATTTGAGTCCGATTTTAATTTATTCACTTCGACTCCAATTCTGACTCCTGACTCCGACTCATATTTCTATAATGGTTAGAGAAAGTGGGTTGAAGAGGAAAATAAATATTGAAGAAGAACCATTTTCAAAGAAGAAGAATAGAGTTTCATCAACATCTTATAAACCTAAGGTAGCCAACATTTTTCACTGCAGAAGTAAAATAAATTTAGTTGTTGTTGATGATCGTTGTCATTATTTATGATGCTTCAGTACACTCGATTCAATATGCTAGGGCATGTTGTTTACATTTATATAACGATTTTGTTAAACACTGATAAAAAGTGATAATAAGTTAAAACAATAAGTTATGTCGAGATTTTACTTCAATCTATTACTTGGTGAATGATTTCTTATACTTTGATGTTTGCAAAACTTGTTTTACTTAGTATTAAAAGTATCTCTTTACCAATTATAGTTTTAATACTAACGCGTTGAGGAAATGAAATTCCCAATTTTGTTTGGATTAATTAGGAGTTTGTCATTGAGTTTGAGGAGTTGAAAACTAGACTATTAAGGCATACAGAGTCTAATTATGATTAGGATGAAAACGATATCTATATGAATAAATGTGGTAGTGTCGTGTTGACATTCAGATGAAATCCATGGGCTATGTTTCCTCTATGTTGGAAAGTTATAGTTTAATTGAAAACTGTTTGGCTTTTTGATTATATTGCCCCATTCATTAGAAATCAATATATGTTATAGAACAAAATCAATTGGTGAAATTCTCCCCCCTGTCTGTGTGCATATATATATAGATTGTTGTGTGTATAGATTGCTGTGGGTATATGATTGAGGTATATGATTGATGTGTCTATGAATCTGTGTGCATATATTATCTCCAGAAGCACCGTGTTCAACGCTGCTGCCCCTCTGTCAGAGGCGTCGGTTGGACAGGAAATCGATGCCGATATATATTTATGCATTTTTTGTAATGATTAAAGTAAAAAAAAAAAAAAAAAAGGAAGAATCTATTTATTATGTGATTATTGGATTGGTTGTGATAGGAAATTGAGTTTAAAACTGAAAATTTTCAAGAGGACTCGTGCTGGCATTTGAGGTGGTCCTGTGATGGACGAATAATTGATTCCTGAGGATAGAATTGATGAAGAAGAGGAGGATATTGAGAGCCAGCCTAATATTCTTGCAAAAAAGAAATCGACTCCAATTGTTATAGAATAAGGAAGCCCGTGAATTTCATCAAAAAATTGTCACTTTTTTTAAAAAAATTTTTTATCACTTCTTTGAGTTTGTCACTTTTAATTTTTCTCTTTTGTGTGATTGTTTTTTTTTTTTTTTTATGTCTCTTTTTTTTCGTCACTTTTTTGAGTTTGTCATTTTTTTAAAATTGTCACTTTTGAGCGTTAGTCACTTTTTTTTATTGTCTGTCACTTTTTAATCTGTATAACTTCATTTAATTTGTGCCACTTTTTTAAAATTTGTCATTTTTTTTTAGTTTTTGTTACTTTTCAAGAAGATAAAAATATGAAATAATATATTATATTTTTATAACATAATTAGCATATGGATTGACTTGAACGTTGTGATTATTTTAAGAACATGATTACTAATGATATCCAAATGAATGGTGTTATTTTGATGTTTGTCACTTTTTTTGAATTTGTGTCACTTTTTTTAAAGAAGTAAAAAGTGACAATTTTTATAAAAAAAGTGACACGGTATTTTTCCCTTCCTAAAAATATTTCATATGATTTTTTAAAATATTCCTAATTTTTAGAAGGTATTTTTATAAGTTGCCCTATTTCGTTTTGGTTTTCACACGACCATATAAGCACACTAGGGTCTCTCCAGAGAGAGGGGTCGAGCGGCGAAAATGGTGAAGTTTCTGAAGCCAAACAAGGCGGTAGTGATCCTCCAGGGCCGTTACGCCGGGAGGAAGGCCGTGATTGTGCGTAACTTCGATGATGGCACGCGTGACCGTCCTTACGGACACTGCCTAGTGGCTGGATTGGCCAAGTACCCGCGCAAGGTGATCCGAAAAGACTCCGCGAAGAAGCAGGCCAAGAAGTCTCGCGTGAAGTGCTTCATCAAGCTGGTGAATTATAATCACATTATGCCCACGCGTTACACCCTCGATGTGGACCTCAAGGATTTGGTGACCCTCGATTCCCTCCAGTCCAGGGATAAGAAGGTCACGGCTGCCAAAGAGACCAAGGCCCGGTTTGAGGAACGGTTCAAGACTGGGAAAAATCGGTGGTTCTTCACCAAGCTGAGGTTTTGAGACTGGTGTATTGGTAATTTTTGAGCTGATCTTGGTTCTTCACAAAGAAGGATTTTGCTTTTGTATTAGATGATTCGACATTCTTATTTGAACTCGTCTTTTTGCTTAATATTATCTGTTTCGATTTACAATGAAATATTGATCTGCGATGCTCAATTTAATGTGAAAATTTGGCTTTAATCTTTTTTATCAATCTATCTTTTTGTTGTGCACTGTGAGATTATTGTTTGTGGCAAATGGTTTCTGGCTACATTTTTTTAAAAATTTTTGGAGATTAGGGTTCTGTTTTTCCCCCCAATTGATTTGAATTTGCAAATAATTTGCTAATAGCTTGTTTATTGCCTTGCTTAAATTTTCAGGTTCCGCATGTTAATTGTCTCTGAATTTTATCTCAAATTTTGGCCTCTGAATTGATTATTTCTTCTGTGCATACTCAGAATACACTTTGTAGATGACAATGTTTAAAAAATGCTAAATTTGATGAGCAATCCTTAAGAGAAACCAATGAAATAATTTAAAACTATATAGAAGTACAAAAAAATAATGCTCATAATAAACCATAAATCCATCTTAAGAAACTACAAGAAAAAAAAAAACTAAATCAGAAGTCAAGTAATCATATGAAAGTATTGTAATCTACTACTAGAAATAGAACACAACTCAAAGGTCTCATATATCATTAATACGAAGAGAATTTTTGAGGGAAGTATTGACATATTCAATTCTCCTATCACTCGATTTCGTCATCAGAAGTTTCTTCTCATTCTTTGTCATTGCCAAATGTGTCTTCTCCTCCTTTTCCTTTTCATCAAAGCATAAAATAGAAAATGAAAAATAACTCTTAAAAAAACTCTAGGTTTTAGAAAAATTAAGCTAAAAGGCTAAAACCAACAGAATAAAATGCCCAGCAAAGTTAAGACAAATGGGCAAACACCTTAGCCGCCATTAGAATTAGTCTCGAGGCATAAGCCTCACAAATGGCATTTATGGTGTAAGCTTGAGGCACTTTATGATAGCTTCATGTGATGCGGAAGTTGAGGTGTATGCCTCGAAAGGTTATTTGTAAACTATGAAATCATGTTATAAACAGTGTGTAGACATACATTTTTGTGTTTTGAACTGCTGATATCTCGACACAATATTGGAATAAAATTGGTAGACTCTTATCACAGAGAATTGATCAAATCACTCTCTAAAGGAAATTGATTGGATTCATTTTGAACTATTGGGAATCAAGCTGTGTAGTGTAAAACTTTTCAGTTTAAATATTGTGTTTATTGGAGAAGAAATTTTGGAGCAGTTAAGGTGGACTATTCTATGTACATGCTGTGATTGAGAGAATTATTTCTACTGTGTTTAGCCAAGAAAAACCAAGATGCAATTTTATTATCTTGCTTTCCAGAGAGTAGTAGATGCATTCTGGAATGAGTTGAGAGTAGTATTAAGTGCTTGTGTGGACGTAATTTTTTGAAAATCACTTTTCACCACTCATTTTCAACCATACATTCTTCCCCCAAAAAAAGTGATTTTTCACGTTTCCTCAAAACTTGCCCTTGTTTTTAATCACATCTTCAAGGGAAAAAAAAAAACCACTTTTCAAATAATTACTTCCGACAAGCACTAAATCTTTGATTTTACCTTGGTTCTTTAAACCTCTATGTACAAGGCCTCCTTGCTTGAGGTTTATAGATCCATCCAGCCTTTGTCTAGAAGTATTTATGTGCTTCAGGTGATCCTATTGACAAATAGGTTTCTTTACCTTTTAATAGATCAAAACCATGTTTGGCATGCCTTCAAAATTCAAAAGTTTGTTTGTTCATTTCCTTTTCGGAGTACAGTATATAGTTCGGGTGAGACTTGCGGTACACACCCATTCTGTCAGGGCCTCCACATTCTATTACATTATGTGGGAAGTTGGTGTATTCAAGTTTGATGCTTGGGGAATGCCGATTATGGTATTTTATGGGAATAACTTGAGGAATTACATAATAGTTTACATATAGCCGGGGTGTCAAAAAGAGAGTGAATAATTTTTATTCGGTTGAAATTCGGATCAAATCATATTTCATCACATCATGTACATATTGATTTTATGGTCCTCCCTTCTGTAATTTCCCCTCCCCTCCCCTCCCCTCATATAATTGATGTTTTGGGATCAAATAATTGAAGCCTGATTAGAATGGGAAATCAAATTTTAGATTTGGAGTGCCTACCTTGAAAGGTTTGTGTGGAGGGTAATTGAGATTCCAATGCTAACCAATCCTAACTAGCATTTTATGGTTTTTGGATGGCATCGTTTATGAGAGATTGAGAAAATTGGTGCTAATTTTGATGGTTTCTCAAAGCCCATAAATCGGTGGATTTTGATCGATTTTTCAAATTTTCTTCCAATTTTCTCTCTCATAAATAAGGAAAAATTACCTAAAACCCTACATATAAATTAGTGTCTATTATCTTATAAGTATATATTTATTAATTTGAATTTACTTGATTTATGTGTGTATTTTGGGAGATTGTTAGTTGTGAAATATGGTTTTTATAGTATGGCAGTTCTGTATTGCTCCCATAAAATAATTATTTTCGATCCACATGTATTTTTCAAAGTACCTTGTAAATAAATATACATTGATTAAAAAGATTATTTATAGCAAAAAAAATTGTTTCATAAGTAAAAAATAAAAAGAAGGGAGTAAGATCTGAATATCCATTAAAATATTTTTATAAACTTAAGTAACAATGTTCTATTACAAAAATTCAAATTAGATAGTGTGTGACCTTCTTAATAAAAAAGTGGTAAAGCATGTTACTTTCTAATGCAAAGCAAAGCTTTGATTCATAATCTATATTTGTATTTTCACATACAGCTTGTATGTATCTCTCTAATTGATCCATTTAATGATCATTAATCCAAAGCTAAATTTTCGTACACACAAACACAATAATAAATTAAAAATTCTCAAATTCCTAATTTATCAACAGTTCATATACATCCGAACATGCTCATAAGTATGTGAATTTAGCAAATTATTACTTTCGTTTTACTGAATAAGTTATGAAATCTATAATCTATTATTGAATAATCAAGTAAAATCTGAACTATTTTTAACAAAATACAGAAATTACTCACCTGCACGATGATTTTTGTTAATTATTTGTAGATTTTGACAAAAATAAAAATAAATTCTCTTAAAAATATATATATAGGTGAAATGTCATTGATTCTAAATTTGATCTGTAATGCAAGAAATTTTGTTTCGATTTTGCTACCGGTACATTAAAATGTACATCGGGGTGTACACCCCCCTCACATGGAGGTGGAGCCCACTTCAATAAAAAAATATTTTACACAAGTGGACCCCACCTCCATGTGAGTGGAATGTACACCCTTTTTATAATTTTTGATGTACAAATAGAATAATTCATTTTGTTTTGATTATCAATTTTGGCAGTGTTGGATGGTCCGGCCCGTAATAAGGGCCGGCCTATGTACTGGCCTTGTAGATAGGCCGACATATGGCAGGCCCAATAAATAAGTTTAAAAAATAATTTGTATGCACTATAATTTAAATTTACTTAAAGCTAAATATATTTACACCACCGTTTTTAATAATTACACTACATTTTAATTGCATGAAATGTTCATAACATTATCACATTTATATTTCAAACTTTTTTCATCGCATTCTTATTTTCAAATTGACATAAATTGTTCCCGATTATGGTTTCTCTTCAAAATTTTATTTAAGATACAGTAAAAAGATTCATCTATTTATTGTATTTTTAAATTAACAAAACAAATAATAATGTGCGTAAAATGCGATTAAATACTTGACCCTCATTTTAAAGCATATTAACAATATTTTTGGACGAAAATCATGATTAAAAATAAGATTTTCTGATCAATTAAATGTTAAAAATAAGAATGTGATGAAAGAAATTAAAGATATAAGTGCAACAATGAATAAAATTTAATGAAATTAAAATGTGATGTATTTATTTTTTTTAAAAATGCAGTATGAATATAATCTCCCTTTAATTAAAAGTTGTACTATTGAGGAAAATTACTGGGAACAGTACATAATTATCCCATTATAAGAACATATTTCAATTTTGACAAACTCCTTAAAACTTACCAAAAATCAGGTGGTAAATCTTAATATTAAATATGTAATTATACTATAATATTATAATATGCATTTAAAAGAATTTTCTCTCTCCTCTCTCACAGCCAAACGTGATTTTCCCTCTATACAAACCCAACGACCTCCTCTACAAACCCAGCTCACCGTAAATCTCCCAAATCACAAAAATTCACTGTTTCTCCTCGATTTCGAGCCACAATCAAAGAACAAGGTCACAATCCCGTAAACTTACTTCTGATTTTTATTGCTCTGGAGAAGTTGAAGCAGGTTGTGGCACAATCGGATCTTCCTGAAGCAAAAACTGAACTACCGTGGTCCGATTTCGAAGGTAAACCTTTAATCAACGTTAATCCTCGATTTCGAGCCATGATCAATGAATGAGGTCACAATCCTGTCGACGTACTTCTGATTTTCAGTTTCTGGAGAAGTTCAAGCTTGGCAGTAGAGGAATTGGATCGTGAAACAAAAATTTAAGTGATCTGATTTCGAAGGTAATAACTTAATAACGTGAGTTTTCTCATTAACCATTGATAGAATGTAATTTTATTTTCAATTTACCGTTTTGAACCTGATGTTATGTGAATATGTGATATCATTGACTATTTGTGACCAGTTGTGACCAGATGTGACTAGTTGTGACATGCTGTTTTCTGTGTATGATTAGGAATGGCAGTTTTGCACGTCTGTCTGTTGTGTGGAGGTCACACATCACTTGTACTAGTGAATGATACATGCAAGTACGATGAATTGGTTGAACTTATTATTTCAGAACTGGGGCTTAATTGTGCAAAAGTAGCTGTGAAAATGACGTATTCTTTGGATTCTAGTTTACCTCCGCTCCGGATTCTGAGCGATAAT